GATCAACATGTAAATATGCTTAGAAATAAAAATTTACATTGTCGTCGAGTAGCCAGACTGAGAAAGAGATATAAAAAAGGGAATGAGGCATAAGCCGTGGCACCTGATGTCCAGTGAACGGTCGTTACGGCCGCTGTGTAATGCACCTGCAGTGTGCACCACGATTTCGGCGAAGGAAAAGCCAGTGGTATGATCAAATCTATTGGAACACTCACTTTGATTCAGGACTTTTTCACATCTCTAAGAAGTATAACAGCCATGTAACATCTGTAACGTGTATAATAATCTCCTTCATACTGACATCGTAAGGACACAACAACTATGCGACCTCATGCGCACTGGTGTGGCGTAAAAGTGAATAAGCACGCGTTGAGATACCCATAACACAGTTCTCCTGTCAGCTTTGCTGCCGATTAAATTTTATGCGTGTATCGGTCAGTGATCGAAGAGACGGAAAAAAGAAAGCAGGAATGGGGAGAGAATGACTGACAAAAGGAAGAGTTAGAAATACATGTAGATTTCGATACCAGAACAGTTTTTCTCCAAAGACATAGGGAACGTTCCTATTCACTAGTCATTCCGAGATTGTTGCTTAATCAGATGCAGTGTAGGACATGGTGGGAGCAAAGTCTGTTAGTGGATAGAGTCAGAAATTAACCATTCTTTAGAGCACAAGGGCACTTCTTCCTGAAAACGTGCAACCTATCTTTCGGATATGTTCATAGGATTCTAAATTCCTGACTCCAGGCGGCCACAAAACAAGGATTGTTTTGGAGCACGACTACGGTTAGAAGCGGTATTTGAAATGTATGGACAAAATTAAGGTGGAAGACTTCATTCAGATGCAGCATTTGTGATTGAGAACCGATTGTCGATCAGCCTGCTTCGAGCCGTTTGAACCAAAAGCTGTCCCAGATATATTTTCACCTATATCACCTGTATTCGACTTGCTCCCACGAATTTCACGATTAACGCGAGGCGACTGTGAGCCATCCATTCCAGTCCTGTGCAAGTCGTCTTCATTGTTGCCCGAGCATATTCAACACCGGATAGGCCTACCTCATTTTGGGCCTCCCCGACGCTTGCTTGTGATCGTGCGGGACTGAATTCGCAAGCCGTCAAGTTTACGGTTGTATTTTAAAGGCGTTATATGTACGGTTTGGCCTCGTTTTCGTTTATACTTTCTGGACAACATTCCGAATGTGTTGAAGGTTTCGACAAAGTCATTACTGTGGGTAAAACAACACTCCAGCAAATCGAACCTTGGAATGAACCAGCGTTACAGTATTGAACCAATCTTATATGAATGCGCGTAATGACACAAACAAGGGGAGAGTCAGAAGGGTTAAAGAGCTCCAAATCGAGCACGCTTGAGACTACCTTATACGGAGAGCTCACATGTGCTACCTTCCTATGATCTTCCAACGACAGAAAGTGAGAGAGTGAAGCTAGGTTAATAGTATCTCGTACAAAACGTTGAATACACCCTTCCTACCTAGTATACAATACGTGAACAATCTCTATCCCTGTTCAAGTAAGTCAATGAAGCCTATTTGTAAATGTTCAGGAAGGGCCCATGAGAGTACAAAGAGCTTGAGAGGCTCATGGTTTAACGCGTATGAAAAGCTCTTGTCATTTAGTATAGAGTTCGACTTGGGAGTAGCTTTGAACACTATATCGATGATAGTCCGTTAAAATTGATGGTGTCAGCTGACAGAAGAATTAAATATGGATTTTACTAAAGCGGTGGAGAATAAATCCACCGAGCTCGAAACTATAGTAGAGAAACCTTTTTCAAAGAACATAGTAGTTTTTTTCTATTCCGACATATCAGGGTCAGGGTCGAACTTAATGGCACGCTTGAGCGGAGCACTAGCTGCTATAAGAGTCCGCGCGGCCGGCGGCGGCGCTATCCAGGCCGATGGGGAAAATCCTCGCATTCTCTCGTTCTTTCGTTTCGAAACAAACCACTGCTCCAAGCAGCGTTGTAGCAAGTAAGGTTTTCAGCGGTAACCACCAATAGTACGTAAGTAAACCAATGTTGTTGACATGCGTTGTGTGTGTTGGTCAGTTTCTATTTTTGTTACCCGACGTATTTTTGACCATCGCTATAACTCCTTACGTCAATTTAAGCGTTGAATTACGTTCTTTACATTCTTGACAAGTACTGACTATCTGTCAGACAACAAGACGTTCGGTTGTGGAACGCGGACAAACAAAAGTCGAGACTGGAAATTACTGTTTCCAAATTCTTCACAGGAGGAGGAACTGTGAAAATCTCACGGGACCAGAGCTGTCGTTGTTTCACTTGAAACTGGTTTCATATTTGTCTCAGAAGTGATTAAAAATCATATAATTCATTCGACTATTTGGTGACTCAGCTTTTCGAAGAGAATCAGATGGCTGATTTTCCTTCAGAGATGTTCTTTTGGTGTTATTTGACTTTGCTGGACCTTTTTACGGAATATAATCGACCAAAAAAGCCACTAGATTTCATCGATTGTTTCACTACCTTATTTGTCGTTCGAGGTTGACTAGAGAATTGGTTCGTGGGCGTTTTGGGGTAGGTGTCAGAGACGAAACGATACAATCAGCCGTCAATTGTACATAACACAATTGTACATATCCTATGCTATACCAGAGGCACAGTTCATTTACATTTTGGCCAGACTTTCCTTTTCGTTCTGTAATTTATTCTCCCTCGATTAACTTAACTGACATGTCTGGAATTCGAGCTTGTATCAGGATTTTTTCTCGTATTATTTTAGAAGACCTGAGTAATCCTTTTTCTGACTTCTGCTACGTCGCTTTTCTCAGCAGTAATGAATTGATAAGGGCATGACATAGATGGCTCGATGCCTGGCTTGTTCCTCCAAAGGAGTGAGCTAGGAAAGGTTGAGTATAGAGAAATTTAGAGAAGGAATGGAGAAGGAGAAAAAAAGGCATGAGCCGTATCCACTATGAGTCAGTTCAAAATATCCTGAAGTTGGATTCGAATGTCAAGATAAATATCATCTTTTAGATCGAAGCGGGTTGCCTGATCCCTTCTCGGCTGCTTCTTCGCTAATATATTGTGTTTGCTCTTCGCGTTCATTTGAGACCATCTTGATTCGATCTGCCTCTTTATAACAAATTCATTCGACTTGGTAATACGTCAAAGTCTCTCTTGTTTCGAAAGACCAGATATGTTTTCAATTGTTTCTCAGTAAGCCTTTATCATGGTTATCTACACCGACCCTAACAGTTTAAGTCAGGAAGCATCGTAAACATGGGTATGTGAAACCATTTAAAACCATTTGGGGTCCTAGAAGTTTTCGTTAGGTGATCCAATATCTCTCAGTAGTCCCATATTGGGAGGTGTTATGCCGTGTGTGAAGCAAGTTTTTCTGGAATAGTAATTTGCCTAATTATCCGTGTTTGTTGGAAAATGCTCGTTGATTTGGTTAGGAAGTGTGTGTAGATTTTATCAAAAAGTTAGAAGGGAACGTAGTTATTGACGTACGTGCTCTCATATGTTTCATACACAGATTTTTGCTGTTCACACATATGAAGTTGCTGGTTGGAAAACTGTTACGTGGTCATGTTGAATTGGGGATGGATTCGAAACCCGAAACTGACGGTGACATTTTGATTTCGGCGAAGAGGTCCCCCCATCCTGGATATGAAACGCTTTTCAATAAATTTAAGTATGTTCGTTGCTGTTTAATAAACTATTACATTGACTGTGGTATTCATACCAAATAAATTTTATATTGGTTCCAATTCTCTACTGGGTGTTTATTCTTGTGGTTTCGCGAACCAATAAAGTTTTTCTCCTCTTTCTGAAAATGAGAAAAGTGATTTTGCTCGCTATTAAAGTTTGTTTCATGTTCAAAGGGAATCGTTACTAATGGTCATTAACGCGGGTAACGGTTTGGATACGAGAACCCTTTCTTTATCTCCTGTACGCCTGATACATCCTCCTCATACTTTTTTTTCATGCACAATACATCATTAACACAGTTTATAGGTACAAAATCTTACCATTATGAAGGAATATAATCTATGGATGTGCATAGAATATGGAGATAGGAAAATGCATTGAATATGGAGAAACGCAGACTATGCAAATACATAGAATATGGATGTACATAAATACAATGAATATGGACATATACAAATGCAAATGCTAGGACGGATACACTTAGCAAAAGAAGATTTAATGCGAAGCACAGCGGGTGAGAGCTAGTTTTTCCTGTTGTTTTTTTTTACAATTTTATTCTTCTAACAGTGCCCGGCAAGTAGTTGAATCCACGTTTGGAATGTTGATCATGCATTCGGACTCCTCCAGACCACAGATGGTACCATCCCACGCTGCTGACAGATGGAAGGGAGAAGAGGAAGGGCTACCATCTGGGATTCATCGAGAGCTGGTTCCGCTGGAGGACNGGGTTTATTGAGATGCTCGAACTTAGTTAGTAGCGTCAGCTGCCTTCACTCCCCACCTTGGCTATTGACCCTGTGCGAAAGGTGAAGAAGTTGGCACTAGCTATGTCCCTGGTACGATCTCAGTCACAACAGTACATAACTAGCGAAGTCAGATTTATTGTCTACTGGACATTACAGAACGACCGAATACTAAAGAGACAATCATGAGTAATATCAACGGCGACTAGAGTATGGCGTGGACGCCAAGCCCGAGGTAGACTGAGCGAGGTCAGCGTTCCTTGCTCGAATACTCGTTGCCACTCCTCCTTTCATGCGACCCTTATCTTGGGCGATCTGAAAGTTGCAACAGTAGCTTCATACTGAAGCATGAATCATCCCCTCCATCTCTGACCTCTAAATCTATGCTTAAGCTTTACAAAGGGATAGGAAGAAGCGCAACGCCTACCGCTTCCCTCCCCTTCACAATTCGAGGTGACCAAAGTGGAGGCAGAAGGATGTCATAGTTGTTTTTGTGACTATTGATGTTTGTTGCTGCAGACATACTTGCAAACTTTTCTATTCAAATCTCACCCTTAATTCTCTTCTTCTTGTGGTTGAAAAGTAGGATCATTCAATGCCGGAGCGTCAACTTCTGGCTGAAGTGTGGGATCATTCGATGCCGGAGCATCGACGTGCGCCGGTTCTTTGTCCAATATGATTGCGTTGATTGCGTCCATTTTCTTCTTAGCTGGCTCCCTGGCTCCTCCCCGTACTCGCGGAGGGCATAAGCTAAGCACATTCCATGCAGCTTCAACGCGAGCGGTGGCTCTTCTCACAAGCCCCGAAGACTCGGTATATGAAGTATTCGAGCCGCAGGAATCTTACATTGACTACGTATTACATTGCCTAGATAAGGGAGCATACCATCGTCAATTCTTCTTCTTTTTCGCGCCCTTACAGCTGTACCAGAGTCGTTCATTGTTGACTCATAGTCGCTGCTGCTGGACCGCATTACCCTGGCTGGTGCGTTGGATGCCGATATTCCAGATGTGCGGGGTTCATCTAGTGCTTCTCTGATGTTTCCGTATTCGTCTGTATTGGAAACTGTTCCCCTAAAATGAGATAGTGGAACAATTAGTGAAATCTCTATCTCTTTGTAGATAATATCCTGTGAACTCCGTTTCTTCCAGAAACTTTAACGGCTCTTCAAATAGCCATCTTTGTAATGCGAGAGATCCCGTTCCGACCTTATTTCTCCATCTTTTCCAGTGATCTCTTGCACTTTTCCACGAAGATTTCATTTCCGATACTGAAACATCCAATATACATAAGGCCTAGACCGATTTAGACGAGAAAACAAAACGTACGGGTCAAACTGTGTCCCTCTTCCTTCAAATTCTGAAAATTCCTTCCCATGCGGCGTCTTTACGGTCTTTAATTTTGAACGACTTACACCGGTAGTCCCACAAACATTGCTTGTAAGGATCAATCCGAGGGACTACACTGAAAGGGGCGATCTGCTTCGAATGTGAGACGAAACACGAGAAGTGAATAATTTATTGACGAAACGCCATAACGAAATCACGAACAAATGTACAAAAATGATGCGCGAAACAAACGGGTACCATCAAAAATCCCCCCCCC